AGGAGAGGTGCTCCAGCCCTCTGATCATCTTAGTGGCCCTTCTCTGGACCTGTTCCAAGAGCTCCACATCTTTCCTGTGCTGGGGACCCCAAGCCTGGATACACTACCCCAGATGGGGTCTCACAAGAGCAGAGTAGAGGGGGACAATCACCTCCCTCTCCCTGCTGGCCACCCCTTTTTTAATGCAGCCCAGGACATAGTTGGCCCTCTGGGCTGCAAGCCCACACTGCTGGCTCATGTCCAGCTTCTCGTCCATCAGGACCCCCAAGTCCTTCTCTGCAGGGCTGCTCTCAAGGAGTTTTTCTCCCAGTCTATACAAGTACCTGGGATTGCCCCAGCCCAAGTGGAACACCTTGCACTTGGCCTTCTTGAACCTCATTAGGTTCTCATGGGCCCACTTCTCCAGCCTGTCCAGGTCCCTCTCTATGGCATCTCTTCCCTCTATGGTAGCAACTGCACCACTCAGCTTGGTGTCACCTGCAAATATGCTGAGGGTGCACTCGATTTCGTCATCTATGTCATTGATAAAGATGTTGAAGAGCACCAGTCCTAAGACAGACCCTTGAGGGACACTGCTTGTGACCAGCCTCCATCCAGACATAGAGCTGTTGACCACAAACAATCCTGTTGAAAGGATAACATTAAAATATAGATAGACATGCATCATATTTTAATTTAGCAATGTCTGTAGGGGGAAACAGTCAGAGAAGTGGTTGTGTCACCATCCCTGGAGGTGTAGACATGGCACTTAGGAACACGGTTTAGCGGTGGACTTGTCAGTGTTAAGTTTACAGTTTGGACTGGATGATCTTAAGGGTCTTTTCCAACCTAAATGATTCTATGATTCTATAATGAACTTACAATATAAGGTAAATTCTATATGGCAATATAACCCCTCCAAAAAATCTAAAAATACAGGGAGATAATTTTATCGTGCCCTATGTGAAATTACAAAATCTACAAAGATTAAATTCAGTATAACTAATATTTATGATCTTAGTTTCCTTAGGAAATTATAAAAAAGGAAAGAATGTAAATTTAGGCATGATTTGGGTTATTGCTGTGATGTTATCCATCCAGAAATATACTAATAGTAAATATGGCACTTCATTACTACTGAATCATAACTCTGCTGTAGTTTACTGTCCTTTTTGGCTGTATAATTATTCAGGTATTTACCAGGGAAAAATATAGAGCGCACACAATAAGTAGTCTTTTTGATTTATAAGAAGTTTCAAATCTAGATGAGCATATTTGGGCTGTTATGAATTAAACCAGTGATTTCTACAGGGATCTCAGTGTCTAAACCGAAGCCAAAAGACTTAGAAGCTTTGCATCTGCATCTGGATCAAAAACTTGAAGTTTCAAAATAAGATGCTCAGGGATCCTCTTACAGTCACTTTGATGAGAATCACCTTTACGTCAGAGGAAATGCTCAGCAACTCTCCCTGTACAAAAGCCCAGCATTTGCTCAGGCAAAAACTTGGTTTGACTGCACTGAGTATTGAATGTGTAAGGATTACAAACTGTATAATGAACTGTACTGCAGAAAAAGTGCAAATGATAACATTATGGAATGGATGAAAGCCATACTGAAGGTCACATATACGGCTTGGCTATACTGGTGTCATCTCATTGATGAGATGGCTCTCATCCAGGATCTCTCTGTTATTTATATGCAGTGGATATAATGCCTTAAAATGAGATAAAATGGCTTTTCTTCACAGCTAGCTGCTTTCATATAAAGGCTTATTAATTAGAAGAATAACTGAAAACATTCAAAACTACACTGGCGTTGCAATTCATAGGAAAACACAGTTCTCTTTTCTTACCGTAGTTTTTTCCAGGCAGTGAAGCAGGTGGTGGTGCTGCGTTTCAAAGGAAGAGCCAGCTTTGCCAACAAAGGCCTGTTCTTCTTCGCTGGAGGACTGTTGATACATAGAACTCCGTATTATTCTCATTTGTGAACAAGAAGGCTCTTATCCAAATATTTGATCAGAACTAATCTGGATTGTACACAGCAGCATAACTGCAATGCTTCATCTACATGGTATAACCCAAATTATTTTGGACCCAAGTTTTCTTTTGCTTATTTGTTTTCTAAACAAAATATTTTCTTTCTTTTTCTTGCACCTCCTTTTAAATGTTTCCATCTTATGTCTTTTATGCATGGATGGAATGGTACAATTTACAAGTGCAATCAACGTGCAAGCTTTGAAAGTTGGATCAATGCAAGCTTAAAATTATCATAAATTTCAGTGACAGTAAAATATATTTTTTCCTGGGAATGTGCCTCATTTGAAGGAAATTAAAAGTAGTTGCCCTCCTGGGATCATTTCATAGCACTAAAGAATTTGTGGTATTGCTGCTTACACAAAAATTCATGTCAGTCATCCCAATCTGCTGATCTTGGAAAGCATATAGCAGATGTTACTGACGCAGAATGAAGAATTAAGTAGAAAGCATCCACTGTTTATTAATTGCTTTCATAATTATTCATTAGAAAGCAGAAAACTAAATAGAGGAGGAAGTGGGATAATGGGAAAGATTACAATTCAACTTTGGGATATTTGAAATCTGAATGGCAATTAAGCTGTTTGGTGTCTTTTTAGTTCAAAGATTTGAGCTCTTTCAAGCAGGAGAGGAAGCGAGGGCTCTGACTGCTCCTCTTTTGTGCTACACCGGATGGACAGACAGCCCCTTCCTCCTCTTCTGGCTATAGGTTAAAGCGTTCGGCTTTTTAAGATGCATTGAACAGAAAGGGCATAGAGGAATGAAAGCCTTCCTGTATCCCTCAGGGAACTGCCTAAATGCCAGAAGATGGCAGGGATTAAAAAACACTGTGTCTTCAGTCTTTCTCAGCTGGCTGCAGCTCCGAGCAGCCAAGGGGCTGTCTCCGGCAGCATGGGTCGCTGCGGATCCCGGTCCCAGCTGCTGCCCAGGGCTCCCACCGCTGGTCCTGTCTTCCTCGGCAGGGATATGGGGGGAATGTGCTTCAGGTAACCTTAGATTTCGTTGTGTTTGAGGTAATCACGAAGACTCTCCTTAGAGCAAAGCAGGTGATTCCAGGGACCGCTTTTCACTCTGCAACACCCCTCTGTGCAAACGGTACCCCAGAGCTACCTCTTTGCCTCACTAATGATGAAGTCTGGTTTTGTCACCCATGTTCTACCTGTCTAAAACCAAATGAGACAAATCCAACCCACATCCTAAAAGGCAAAAGCTCTGTACTTTCTCAATCTTAATTACGTCTTCTACCGAATCTACCTCTAGAAATGTGGGTCATGTTTGAATCCAGCATTTCTATCTCGACACTTCCCTCATCTCTTAATACCCCACCATTGACTCTCATAAGCTTCCATTAACAATAGTAATTGTCAAATTTATCCTTCCTTAATCTACCTCTAAAGATAACATTGCCTAAAGACCCAAGTTGGCTTGCCCTGGAGATGAATAGAATAAGCTACCGCTGGGCTGTCATTAAGCTGTTTCTCTGGAGGTGGAGGATATGAAAACATTACCTGCTGCAGCTGGTTACTCAGTAAGCCATTTCGTTTGCTCTGCATGTAGGCATTAGCACTCCCACTCTTTGCTGCACGAATTCGAGCAAGTCTGGCTTTCTGTGTAAATAGACAAAAGGAAGAGTGTCACTTGTACTCATATCCATTATTCTGTTTATCTAAAACTGCTAATTGGAATCAGCTGGTTAAGAGTACCAATACCATAAGCACTAAGAGGCTGCATTGCATCTGCCCTCCAGGTGGAGCAAATAATAAGTGGCTTCCTATTTAAAATGCAAAGTTTTTATTTATTTGCATGCATCAGCTAATAATAACAATTATTTTGGAGAAGGGATTAGACAGATCAGCATGTAAGTGCCTCCTCTATTTTGCATTGCTGCAACTGTGCCACTCCTTATGTCTTGTGGATCAGGAACACGGGCATCCATCTCTGCTGCTCTCTGTAAAGGAGAAGAAATGCTTCAGAAAAACATAATACTGCAACTGCTGTGAGCTGGTTTCTCAGAGCCTTCTGGGTTTGTAGAGTAGCAGAATGTGATAGTGTTTTTTATTCTGTCTCCCAGCTAAGGTCCTGAATGCTCACCAGGCCTTTTAAAAGCCTTTTTACCTCTTCATCTCTATTGGTATAATCAGCCTTAATATGTGTCATCACTGGTCATAATCTGTCCATAACGTGACTTTTCAGAGACTGCAGGCATCAGATTGCTGTGAGAGATTTGAGATTTCTCAGGTGAGCTTCACTGCTTGTGAAGGTGACTTTCATTCCCGAGTAGATGATGGCTCTCATCCCAGAGTAAAAGGTGGCTCATGAGTGAAGGACGTTTTGCATCCCCTGACTTCTGTACAACAGTTAAAAGGCAACATTAGGGGAAACCATGAAGAAAAGTCTTTCTCAACCAATAATATGGAAAACAGAAGCTTTTAGGAGATTTCTAGGATGACATCCTGGTTCCGTAATTTTTGTAGCTGGTTACATGTATAAGGGGGAGTCTGGGTTTATCTTAATGCATTGTTGTTTGATTCTGAAAGCCAAATGCTGAGCAGCATCTGGAGTTGAATGGCGGTTGAAGCACAGAAGGAGACACAGTGAATAACTTGAAAAACTGTGTTTGATATATTAATAGGGATTTTAATATCTGATAATTACTCAGTTGATATTTTCAGAAAATAGAGGGAGTGTTACCACTACCACCTCCCACCACCCCAAATTTCTGTGGCATTAAATGTCAGCATGAAATGACTGAGAATCCCTGAACACTTACAGAGGAAGGCAGCCTGGTCACTGCAGCTGCCAGACCTCTCTGATATGATTAATAATTAACTATGAGGAATGACTCAACACCATGCTTCTTTGCACTCACAGCTGCAAACTCCCAGATCTTCTCAACAGTGAGCCAAGAAATTCATGACAGCTAACAGCAAACATGGCTAGAATCTGGCTTATTTTATACATCATGTACTTATTATCCTTTAATTGTTGTGAAAGAAAATAAGATGATGCTGTGCATGTGTGCATTACTGAGTCAAAAAGCTCACATGAGAGACTGTTGCCTGATTTTGTGATATATTGGCCACTACAGAATAACACATTGGTTTGCCACTTTCCTCAGTGCATGCAGCCTTTCTAGCTATACAGCTAATGCACCTTACTCTTGTGGTAATGAGCAAAGCACCTGGATCACCTGCACAGTGCTTGTGCACAGCTGAATTCCTACCTTCTCCTTCCTCCTGTTAGCACTGAAAAGACACCTGCAGCCCCACACCCCATCACCCTGGGTGGGTCTCCAGAGGCTGGACTGGGGGTAGATGTCCAGTCAGGACTCTTCCACTGAGCACCATGGCTGTAAGCCCTGGGCAGCCCAGTGTGCTGCAGCGAGCCACCTGAGAAAGCAACCCACCAGAGGGGCCTGGGGTCCCCAGGAATGACCTGAGGAAGGGGGAACGGATAACAGCTCCCACCCTCTGGGCTCACATGGGCTCCTTGGTGGCACATCCAGGGCCAAAGATGTGGTTAGGGCTGAGTCCTTGGGGATGGCAATTACAAATCCCCTTGGGCAGGAAGAAAACAGGTTATTTTCAAAGTGGAGCTCTTCAGGTGCAACACTGCATGATGGGCTGAAGGCTGGAGGAAGAGCTTTACCTGCACCACAGAACAGTAACGGGTTGGGACACGTGCACTGGGTTATGTTCATAAATATATTAAAGGTCTCTCTTAGCACTAGTGTTTAGCCTTAGGAGCTTGAGATGCTTTAGAGATGCCTTTGCAGGGTGTAACATGGAGTCTCATAAATAAGTGATTTCAGTCACAAATTTTTTAGCTGTGGTACTTTTCAGTGTGCTCTTTATACAGGGAGATTAGTTAGATTTAATGAACACACATTTTACATACATTAGTTATGCATTTCCTTTTAGTGTGCATATTCATTTTCTCTTGCAGTGATTGAAGTAATAATTATGGTGCAGCACCATTTAATAAAGAAATATAAAAAATATAACAGTTCATCAGACTATCTTAATATATTAATGTGCTACAACACATATAATATGAGGGTTGTACTTTTCATGTGAAGATTTCAAATTGCTTTGCAAATATTAATTTATTGTGTCTTAGAAAGCTTTTGTGAGGTGGAAAGTAATAGCTTACATCTTTCTAGCTGAGCCTCATTCAGATGGCCTGAATTTACATCATTTACCAAAGAGAAGACAATAAATCTGTTACCAAGACAGGAACCAGACATTGTGGCTTCCATACTTATACTTCAGCTTACAGAAACAGTCCTGAAACTGGAGGTGTTTACAAATCTGTTAAAGTGATAAGATTTCTTTTCAGCGCTTCTGCCTGATTTACATCAGAGCCTGGAGCATGAGAAGTCTAGTGACTCCTCACATTTCCTATCAAGGAATCATTAAAAGCTCATGTCAGCCACAGGATTTTAAGGGCTGTGCACTGGGGATTGAATTCCCATGAAGGACATCAAAATGATGGGATGACATCAGGAAAACTGTGATTACAGATGAACTGTATTTTCCTTTAGTCTGCAAACTGCATTTTCTTCCATGTACAACAGAAAGGGAGTGATAACAGCCCCTTTCAGCTACTGCAAAGCCCTTCCTAACTCTCCCCTTTCATGGAATATCTAGCAAAATAAAGAAAGGATTAAGTTCTCCTGCAGTAGATCATCTCTGCTGCAAGGTTTTCCCTGTTAGCCATTGAATGTGAAATTCTGATTTTGGTAATTTTTGCATTGCCTAGGACAAAACCAATGTAGCTGGAATACAGTTATTTTACTTATCCTGATTAAATTCTACCATAATCATCTTGTCTGAAACTTCCTAAAATAAATTGATGATCAGCTCTAATTCTTACCACATTCCTTGTATTTTCACAGAACTTCTCTTTTGAATACATTGCTTTTTTTTCTTTTTTCCTAGTTTCAAATTTTACAGCGTAGAGGTGGATCCTTGTCTATGGCTGCATTTACAGAAACCTTACAAAGGGAATTCACTGTTATTCAGTAACAGCTAGCTCTGTCAGTTTTAGAAATATAAACATTTATTTTCACAAGGTTTTAAATAGCACTAAGTATAGCGCTGTGGGGTATTTACAACATCCAGGTTTTAACATTCAACATGCCCTCAGATGTCCAGCTGTGTTAAGAGAGAGATTTTATCAGGAACACTTTAGGGCAGGGCTTACTGAGATACTGGGAATCATTTTTGGCAAGAGCCTCTTCAATTTGCTGTGCAAGAAGCACAGCCTACATAGCCTAGGTAATTTACTACTTAGATAGCTTCTGTTGTCTCTCTTCTGCTGCTCTTCAGTCTGTGTAACTATCTTACTGTCAAAGACCAAAAATTACTAATTACTTACCTTACATTTATTATTTTTTTAATGATCTTGTACAACTAAAAGATAAGAATTCCTTCACAGTCATTCTGTGTGTAATGGTTTTGGTTGGTATAGAGTTAAATTTCTTCATAGTAGAAGGTATGGAGCTATATTTTGGATTTGTGCTGAAAACAGTGTTGATAATGTAGGGATGTTTTAGCTACTGCTGAGCAGTGCTTACATAGCCTCAAGGCTTTTTCTGCTCCTCAGACTATCCCACCATGGAGTAGGCTGGGGATGCACAAGAATCTGGAAGGCAACATGTCTGGGACAGCTGACCCCAGCTGACCAGAGGAATATCCCAGACCATATGACACCATGCTCAGCAATAAAGCTGGGAGGTGTGGAAGTTGGTGGGGGCTGCTGTTGCTCGGGAGCTGGCTGCACATCAGTCAGTCAGTGATGAGCAATTTTTTTTCTTTTGCATCACTTGTGTTTCATTCCCCATCCCCTTTGTTGTTCCCCCCCTTCCTCCTCTTTTTTTTTTTTTTTTTTTTTTAAATTATTAAACTATCTTTATCTCATTCCATGAGTTTTTGCACTTTTACCCTTCTGATTCTCTCCCCCATGCCACTGCAGGGGAGTGAGCGAGTGGCTGGCTGGTACGTATGCCTGCCTACTGACGTTAAACCACAACACTGTGGTTCCTAGAGCAATGGCCAGAATTGTCCAAAAATCAGTCACATTTCTGTTTACATAATTTTTTGTTTGGCCTTTCATAAATCCATCCTATACATTTGCTTTCAAGTGAAAAATCAAGCCCACATTTTATGCTCTGATTTTCTAATTTTCAGTAATTGCAAATAATTGACTTCAGATTAACTGACAATAATTTATATGATGTCAGCATGCAGCAGAGAAGAAAAATGCTGTTTACTTTGTACATTAATGGATACAGAATTAAATAAGGTTCATATATTTGTTGAGTTGTGCCTTTCTTTCACAATCTATTCAAATTATTGTTCAGTAAATACAAGTTTTACATGCTTTTGTGCTAAATTCAAAAATCTTGGCTAAGTTACTCTGCTAGTTATATCTCTCCAACCCCACTGAGATTAATAGTCTATCTATCTTGTTTAAAGAAGTCATAATGGCTAGCAGGGTTCCCCACTGCAAATGCTCAGTTCTGGGCTGACAGTTGCTGTTAAGCAGTTGTTACAATTTATCCCAGAGCTATTTATATTTATCTAGTAACTAATTATTCATAACTAGACAGATAAATACATCATGCACAATCAATAAATAATAAAGCCAACCCCGTCTTCAGGATATATTCTGCTATGTAAAGGTGGAAGAGCATACTCACATGAAAGATTCAGATTGAATTTTATATATTAAGTGAGATTTTGGAACTGACAGTTGTTTAGGTGTTCTGTTGAGGAACCATGCAAAGTCACTCTAGGGAGAAAGTGACTGGGCAACTAAAATTAAGGCTCCTTCTGTCATCAGATAATGAACAGTAATGGGCAGATGGATCCACACTTAGGACTTGCTGGCTAAGAGGATACAAGGCTCTTGAATTCAAAAGATGCAGAAAAATAGATGTATAGAAAGGCAGGGAAAGCATCTATCAAGGCATGCTTCATTCAGGGTGAGGAAGACATTGGTGTCATAAGAGCTGCTGTAGTATGTTGGGATGGAGCAGACATCTGTTCAAACAGGGTAGTTATGCCTCCTCCTTTCCATTCCCTCTGCTGGTAGTCATCCCAGTGAATCTGACACTGTGAGGGTCTAGCCATATCGTAACCTTTGATACCTATCAAATATGGAATAGGAAATAGTATCCAAGCTTACCTAAACCCTTCTTTTTTCTTTCCTGTGTTTTCTTTTCCCTCCTTTCTTTTTCTTTTTACATGGATGAGTCACAACACATCTGTCATAACTTTGCCACCTGAAGGCGCTGATGGGCAACCAAAATAACTTGGCCACTTGAAGTTGTCTCTAGCTGAGACAAGCTCCATAAACAGGATTCTTCAAAACCGTTTCTGTTGTGATAAATCTGCTTGAGAAAAAGGCATAATAAGACTACAGGGCATAATTAGTTCTGCCCTGAATTCCAGTACCTATTTTGGATTATTTATTGTCAGGATAGGCCAGATCCTTGGACCTTTTTATCTGATAGAAGAAAATGTTCTGGTTATTTTACTTTTTTTTTTATTTTAATCTCTCTCACTCTTTTTTTTTTTTTTTTTTTTTTTTTTTGTTTCTATTGAGGTCTCTTTTACAACAATGTATTTCCATGGTTGGAAGCAGGAGCTTCCCTTAAAATGCATTCAAAATGAGATGGTACATAAATAAAATTCTCTCTTCCATCTCCTCCTGAATGTTAATGTGCAGCATCTTTTTGTTAGAGACAAACAAATGGAATTCTCTAATCTTGAATGACTGTGCAAAACTCCGTATATGCATATACGGATGGTCACATGGCTCTCAAACAAACCTAATACAAGTGACAAAATTTTTCTGCTGAAAATTACCAGTGCTTGTGGGACTAGATTTCAGCTCTTCACCGGAGAGCTTTCTCTTGAATTTCCTTACAACCCAAATGTTTTGCCATTTCTGAAGACTGCCTTGATCAAACTTCTGTATGAGATATTGATGAAGTAAGTTGCACAATTTCAATACAGAACTCTGTCAATCAGATGGAAGCTGTTGTAGCCAGCAGGAGGTACCATTGCCTGCAGGGGTTCATGCTGTGCTCCATGAAACAGCACCTTCTTTGAAGCTTATGTTCTTTGGCCTTAGAGAATTGAAATAATGTTGGTGCCTAGGGAAACATTTATTTTACAAAACTATGTAAAGCTTCTGTTGTACTGAATGACGAAGGAATTTCAAACTTCAATAATGTGACCTTTTTACTTGAATATTCTTATAAAATTCAGTAGAACCCTCCTGTGAAATGCAAGGCGGTACTTTATGGCTAAATATTGCTAAATATGGACTCTATAGTACCCAAGAAGCATTTTTGTTGATTTTTTCTTCAGTCTGTCAAAGCAATATTCAGTTTAGCATCTCAGTCATTTTAGATTGACAGAGATTAGCTCTGCAATATGAAATATCAGTGAAACACACAACCAGTGCTAAGTTAATGAGACCTCAAAGCCATTTTCTCCAAAGCAAGAAGGGCATGAACACAGTCAGAGGAAATCTCTCATCCTTACTGTTGGCATTGTTCTGGGGAGCAGAGGAAAATATGCTTGGCAGGATTGCCATTCATCACTTCATATTCCTGTTTGAAACATACAACAAGCTCACTGTTTTGCAAGGAGAAAAAGTCAGTTATCAACTCAAGCAATTTCTGTTCAGGAAGAGATTATGGGGAATATGAGCCAGTCTGCCAATCTAATTTTTGCAAGGTATTTTCTAGTGTCCATCTCTTTTTCACAGGCAAAGGTAAAGCAGGCATAGACAATTTTGTTTCATGACATGCAGTAGGAGACAGTTTCTATCTGAAGTAAGGCTGGTTGTGTCTGCAGTTATTATAAAAGCTCAGAACAGGTACATTGATTTCTGGGATCAAGCAGATCTGTTATCCGTGACTGGTGCAATGCTCGGAGGCACAGTAACGAAGCTCTGTGTTCTGGATGATGCATACTGTTCTTTCTCTGTCTGCTGCCATTATGCAAACTGAAGTGGAAAAATGCTCAACAAAAACAATGTAGTTGTAGAAGTGACGTATTCTCTGCATGTTCCAGCTGTGGGAGTGGGGAATGCACAGCTGGAAATAGCACATGAAACAAAATGGCATGCAGAAGGATGGGTGGAATTAGTAGGACAGGTAAGGTATGATATTTGGATCACTGAAGCAGCATATATTTGAAAACAGGTTTCTAGAAAGGTGCGACATTTCTGTGATACACCTGATTTCTTTTATGGCCATTTTCTTCATCTGAGAGCATTCTTCCAAGATGGGGCCATTAAAGGGTACAATATCTTAGTCTGGGCTTATGACTGACTTTCTTGGCCATGTATTTCTGTTTCTCCTGAATTTAAGATATTCTGGGGATGGTATCACTGTGGACATTTCCATGAAGAGATGAGTCAAAACAGTGACCTTTCTGCTCAAAGGCCAGAAAGAATTAAACAAATATTTTATATCTCTGAACCCGGTGCTGTTGTCTGTATGAGGCAGACGCAGCCTGGGGCAGCCTGTGTCCCCTGTCTGTGTGCGTAGTCCCCAGCCGTGGTCTGCCTGCACGCCTCTGTGGGCAGCGATCCTGCTCCCTGCACCACTGGAGACTCAGGACTTCTGAGGAGAGGCCATGGTACCACAACAAACCCAAGTGGTGACACCTCAGCTGTGGCAAGGTCTGTGTTGCATCTGGAGCCTTTTGACTGCCACTGGCAGAAGGTGGTGTGTCACGGCTCCCTTTGGAGGGCTATCTGAGCTGCTCCACACTATAGGGTTGGGTGAGGTAGATCAGGATTAGTGTTTCGGCGGTGATGTGGAAATGAAGGTGACTGCCCAAGTTTGTCTGCATTTCTCCTGGTAAATAGTTCTTCCTGGCTCCTGACCTTGCCCATATGGGTCAGGGAGGGAAGCTGTCTTGTAGACTTGGTTGATATTTTAGCGGGAGACTCTGCAAATCAAGGAAGCTGGGAAAAACAAATTTTTCTTTCAGCTTTTCCTGGTAAAGCTCTTTTTTCTGAAGCCTTTTAAACAAACTGAGGAGACAAGTTCCCCAATAATCAGATTCCCCAGAGACTGAACCTGGGAATTAAACGCATGGATTAGTGAAGCAGGCTGTTAGGGTAGACATTAGAAATCATTATTAGGTTTTTTGTTTGTTTGTGGGGTTTTTTTGTTTGTTTTTTTTTTTTTCCTTTTTTTCCTCAAGACTTTGGTAGAAATAAAGTCTGCCTGAAAAACACAGTAAAATCTTCAGTAGGTGGGACTGCAGCTATTGCCTGAAAATACTAGAACTACTCTAACAAGTAGAATGGGTTACCACAATAACAGATCTGTAAATTTTGACAAAAAAGATAAATGAACAGGTTTTTGGTTTTTTTTTCACTAAAAATAACAGAGTATTTGCATCTAGGACATGTGCTAGGCATGTAGCACATAAATATAGTAGTACCTTTGGTAAGAAGCACTCACTTTGAGGCCACACAGCATATAGAAAGTCATATTTTATCTATTGCTCAACAGCAAAAGGGGGAAAAATCAGGAGCTCACCTTTTGTGCCCTGCGCTTGTCTGCTCGTTGGTTCTGGTGGTAAATACGGCTGAAGTTGGAGACAATTACAGGAACTGGCAGAGCAATGACCAGGACCCCACTCAGGGAACATATTGAACCAAAAATCTTGCCAGCAATTGTCTTTGGCACCATGTCACCATATCTGGGTTAAAGAAAACACAATGCTTAGTAAAGACAAAATCTCTTCTAAGTACTGAATTTCAAGATGAATTGCACAGTAGATTTTACTTCTCTTGCAAATAATACTTGCTGCATATAAATAATACTTTATACACATATGCATATATATACAGCATGCCCAGTGTTGCGCAAACATAATTTTAATTTGAAGCTAATGTCAGGTATCCTGTCCATCAAACTGTGGGCATCTATGTTTTACCTGTTGTAGTCTTCCCAGGTTACCTCTACTGCAATGGAGAGAGAGACCTTGCTAAGGAAAAAAAATATCAGTGTTGAAGTTAAGTCCTCACTCTGTTTGCTTGTTGGAAGAACTCATCACTTTCCATCAGCAAGGTCCTAGGGAGACCACTTGGTATGTTAGATGCCAAGCTGAATAATGTTGTCTCATTTAAGCTGATAATAGTGCTTTCATTTAGGAGGGTAGCACATTTTTGGAACAGGTTGCCCAGGAGATGGTGGACTTTCAACACTTGTCTGACCTAATCTATTGTTGCTGATAGGCTGCCTTTGAGTTGGAGTCTGGGCTAGCTGACCTCCAGAGGTTCGAAAGAAATACAGTCTAGCTGAAAGCAAACCCAAAAATCTCAAGACATAGGCAAGCAACAAAAGAAATTCTAACTGCAAATCCTGTTAGGGATTACTAGGGCTACCACCTTTCTACATGACGCTGGGTATTGTTTTGTCCAGAAAGGAAGAACACAGTGGTACTGAAGACTATAGAGGTATTCCAGTAACAGCTTATTAAGAGATTTCAGCTCTTTGCACTCTGTAGACTGCCACATTCTGTAAGACAAGTACAGAATTACATACTGCAGAGTTTAATAAAGATATGTTACCTTCAAGTACCATTCTGTTTTTAACTTTTCTGGATTTTCAGTTTTTATTAAACTTTGTAGAATGTGAGTTCAGTATGCTTGTGATCAGAGAGACAGCACATTCTATATTGCAAAGAATTTATGAACTGTTAACACAAGAAAAGGTAAGAAATAAAATTGCAAGAGGGGCATTGCTTGGCAAATGCTATCTGGAAAACAGAACCTGTCTGTTCAACAGGAACTGGAAAAACAATAAAGAAGATGGGAGAGAGTCTTCAAGTCACATGGTCCAAATTGTGCACCTAATCACGAGAAGGAGGGAATAAAGGGATGAGGATATTAGATGATGGAGAGTCTATATGGGGTCAGAGAACAACTTCTAGCAATGAGACCTCAGATATGTCAAAAGGAGATATATATCAACTTGTAGGTGAAGATGAATGATTTGCATTTTGTAAGATAAGAAGATGTTTAATGTAAATATTCAAATAAGTTGTAATCCAGGGAGATACAATATAGATGACCGAGTCTTAAGACTATTGACAAAGATTATGTTGTGTAATATAAATGTTTAGTTGCTTTACAAGGCATGCCACAGTGTACAATATTCTACCAATAATCACCCCACCTGCTCATAATTTGAATGCTGTTGGTTTCTCATTTTGTGATATGCAGGACTGGATAAAATGATGTAATGTAATGGAATCCATCTTCTAAATTATTAATATAGATGATCTTAATTACAAGATGTATAGAACTGCAAAAATATTAGAAGGAGAGTCACGCTTTCCTTCACATCAACATTCCCACCTCACAACATAGGCATTTTTGGTACTTATATTCCTAAAGCCAGAGATGACTATCAGTTGTCCGGAATGATGCATGCTCAGCTGTTCTTTCCTTTGGGCGGGGAAGTGGATAAACAACTTTTCAAGGTCCCTTTGACAAATGGGATCCCCGACACCTAACTAACCCCATTTTTTTTTCAGGTGGAGAGGTGAGGTGAGTAGTGGGCATGGGGCCACGGTGGTGAACTTAGGGGAAATGTCCTAGAATCAAACCAGTGATAATCATTGCTGGTTTACAGTATTTGATATTGTTTTACTTCATCCTTTCAGATACAATCCAAATATTTTCTTAAATTGAATCAAAGTGTATCATTGGAAAGCTATTTAAAAGGCAATATACATTTACACACACCTGACACAACCAGATCTTGGAATGCAGAATTTACACATGGCCAGTACTACTGGACAGATTTCTTAAATTAGATTCCTGAACCTATATTTAGATGTCTGTCACTTGAAATGCTAAATTGTTGAACCTTCAGAAGCTCAGAATGTCACTGATGGTTGTTGTAGACAGAAGGCATTTCTGGCTCTAATTAATTTGGTTTGAAGTTGTTCAGGGATATAGTTCATCCTGTTGATAAAGTGACACTATAATTATGTGAATCAAGTGCAGCCTGATGCTTTAGGAGTGGTGACAGGAACTATTAGCTGATCTGTCCCTAACATTTCAGTGTTTATGTGTGGACCTACCTACTGAAATAAGGAGCTGCCTTTTCACAGTATTTCAGTGTTACAGGGCAAAATTAAAAAAAATAGGATTGTTTGATACGTGAAAGTATTTTGCAATGTTTTTCTTAACTTCTGGGCAAAATGACAGGTAGATGGATATACTGCTTATTTTAAAATAACTTGCTTTGGTTATTTTTCTATTTCAGCTTGAATAGCTTGTAGCATGGTGACATTTTCCAAATGTAATGTTGTTTGTCCATTGTTTAGTGCTAATAATATCTTTCACATCATTAATAACTCTTACATAATTAGTTTTTTCTCCTGTTGATAAACACTGTGTTGGAGATGTTCAAATAAAATTACATTCAGAAAAAAATTACTTCCAAGAAATTTGCCTTCCTGCACAGGGTAAGAAATACATTAGTTATCTTTTGTGAAAAAACAGAGTTTTTACTACATTTACCCTGGTTAGCCTTGCTCTCCTTTGGGACAGTGACACAGATTTCAGTCTAGCGTAGGCATGACTAGAATTGTTAATGAAGTTCCTCCTGCTGGATTAAACATCACCTTTATTTACACCTCATATATCACTGAATGCCACCAATGTAAGTGAATGACATAAAATGAGGGAAAATTTCTTCCTTTACCCCACCTGCAATAGCTTTATTCCTTGGAAAGTCTAAACTAAAAAAGGACATAACTCCATTTTCAGATGGCAGGGTAGCTTTGTGGTGCTTGTATTTCAAAGTGGAAAAAAATACACTTGATCTCTAAAACAAATTCTAAATTCTGCAGCAAATCTGATCCCTTCATTCACGAAGACACAACAAATATGGAATCTTATAAAGCAATTTTCACAGAGTCACTTTTCAAAAGGGAATTATTTCAAGGTTATATCTGGTGCTACCCTGTCCTGTTTGTCTCAGTGCTCTTCAGACTGTAACTGCAAACATATTCTCCTTTATGTGCTTTTTTTCCCCTAGTTGCAGTCTTTTCATAGCTATGTATATAGTCTGTTCCACATATGTCTATTATTGTGGCCGAAGCTCAAGTCAGTCTTTGGGCATTTATGATTTGTACTGACAATCTAATTTTGCAGTGTCAAAAGTGTCATCCCAATATTGTATGCTCTGGATGAGGAAGGAAAAGTGATGTCATACTGATCCCTGTTATAAATCAGGTGAATTCTACTTCATTAGCCAAAAAGGGAAGGGAAATGGCTATGACAAACTAAATGTGTCAACCAAGTTTTATCAAATCACAATTCAGAAATGACATGATCAAACTAATGCCTAGGTTTCACTAGACGTAGCTCAGACAGGTCAGACGTGTGCTATTGCTTGCAGTCCATGGATATCTGTTCACTGAGTGACATCGTACAGGGATGGATGGTTATAAAGGCATGTGTGCTTGTCTCAGTTGTTTGTATTCAACAGGTGACAGATCACTTTTGTCTATTTGACTCCTTACTGCAAGGGAAGACAGCAAGCCAGTGGATTCCTTTGTTTTGCAAATGCTGGATCTTTCAGAGTACTGCTCTGAGTAACATGGGCATGATTCCTCACAGCATTCCATGGCAGATCTGAGGGCATGAAATGCAGCTTGAAAAGCACACAAAAGGCTGAGCTATTGTAGGAACTTGGGAAACATTAATCTGTTTGGGCTTACAAATGCCCAGTCTGTAACGTAAACATTGCCATGTCAGAGCTTACCCATGGACATCCATCTGCCAAAGCAATACTGCTTTTCTAACTGATGAGTGGAATATATCTGATGTTGTATACCCATAATTCAAGAAATCTCAGACAACAGAGGCTGTATTTGTGGCATCATCAGCTATTTATCTTATTGCTGAATCTAATAAAGACTGTTTTTTGATGGCTCTAAGATGGAATATTTCATAAGTCAAAGGTCTGAATTATAATTAAAACGAGTCATACTTTTTGGCCATTTTTCCTTGATATGAGCAGAGAAGGTCTTTTTTTTAATAAGCTTAACAAGTGAGAGGGACAATTCTGCTTCTTTAACTTCTGTTTGTTTGTTTGAACATAGGAGTAATTTTTTCAAGTGAAAAATAAATGTATTTTGGAGGATAAAATAAGTAATCACAGAAATTGTAATTTGAGCAATGTTTTTCCATGTGTTTGACAGATGAGAAACATGTATTTGGAATAGCTCACTTTGGATAGAAAAATCGCCCCCTTCAGTTGACCTTTACAGCAAAACTCTGAAACTATAGAACATATACATAATAGGAATAAATCCAGGATGTGCATTTTTACAAAGATCCGATAGTTTAGGCTGATACTGACAGAAACAATTAAGGAAAGAAATTGTCACTGTTCAAAAAACCTCGCTGCAATAACGTTTACTGACACTAGAGGGCATAAACGCCATTAAAAAGAAATGCAAATACAAAACAATTTTTAAACGTGTTACAAATACCTGTGCCCTCTCCCACCTCCCTCAAATTAATTTACATTCTTTAAAAAAAATATTACATTGATTGAGGTCTCTTGTCTGCTCCCATCTTATTTGCTGAAAAGGAAAACTAGTAACATTTTTGTTTTCAAACATGTAAAACATGTCAGAAAATAATAGAGTTGTAAAATAAATGAAAAGTCATT